CGGGGGCAGATCAGTCATTTTGATGTCCCGCTGCAGAGGTCACGCTCCATCAGCTGCGTGCAGGCGGGCTGCCCGAACACTGAAACCCGAGGCCTTGATATCCTCTGCTGATGTCGGGGTGACTCCTGTGATATTTTGCCAGAACAGCATGCTAACTGATATGAGCTTCTTTTTTTTTTTCATACTTGCTATTGACGGTTAGCGTGATTTGCTAAGATATCGTTAACACTTCTGATCTTCAGACCCGTGGGATTTGATTTGTAGGCCGATGCTGTGTTAATAACTGTGTTGTGACAATAGAACGTAAATAAAGATGGAAGCCCTCGTCTCATCCGGCTCTAAAGGAAGAATCACGTAAACCCTGCACCCGGTCTAAAAGGTCTGAACACGTTTATATGTTGCTTCAGGTCTAAATGGATTAAATGTGACCCAGAAATGCTGGAAGGTCAAGAACCGTATCAACGTTAGTAAACAACGGCCAGTGATTCATAGGGCAGATTTAAGAAGGATGCACTTTCCTCTGAAATGCAGGGGCTGTGGTTCAGGGTCGCTATGTAACGTCTCAGTCTCTGGTGTGTGCGTCGTCTTTCAAATGAAACTGTTGATTAGAGTGAGACCTGTGAGTGGCTGCTCATGTTAGTGTGGTCGCTTGTGTCCGTCTGAGTGTTTTGGTAGAAAAAGTCTCCAAATAGATATTGATGGGTTTATCCACTGATTTTAATCTGTAACTTTGTGTTGATTTGGCTTTTTACTCTGACTTCTTTTAGTATTTACATCTTCTACTCACCTGCATTCATCCCAGCTGGTGTGAGCACATGAATCTGCACTGAAGTGTCAGACGCTTCCTCAGACATCAGCAGGATGCTCCACCCATAAAGAACCAGATAAGTCCAGGTTGGTGTAATCTCAGTTTGTGCTGGAGGGCGTCTGCAGTGGAGCTGGTCGTCGCAGATTTTGGTGCTGAGTGGGAAAAGTGATAGATTTCCCAGCGGCCGAGAACCGTCCTCGCCACCGAGCTCCCTCCCCTGCAACGACCAGCCCACTGCTGAGCGTTATCACTCCGCTCCAGGCTGCTCGCTGCCACTTAACACACCAGGGCGGGAAAGGAAGACACACATGCACACACGTTAAAGCACAAATGAATATCAAACACTGAGGACCAACCAATACATTGATACTGCAGCTTATTGATTGAAAAGGAATTTAACAGAATGGGCGTTTGTGTGTCTCAAACAAAACGTTCAGGATGGTGCCGGTAAATCCATCAACACGTTTCCTTAAATCTCTCTCTCTATTTATAACAATATATTTTGTGGGTTCAGTAAACAACATGTTTTCAGACACAAACACTCGATGCAGAGGTTGTAGAGTGAAGTCGTGCGGCCGTACACAGTTCTCTCTGATTCAAGAAAGCTTGGGTTACCTTTGAGAGTGCCTGTGAGAGGTTTGTTTCCTGTGTCACGGCTCAGTCACAGCCCCGCGCCGCTGCCCTGCAGGTTGTGACACATTCGGCCCGTGGCAGGAACACTGGTGCCGGCGTATCGAGGGCAGCGGTAGCCGAGAGGACGGCAGGGCAGGTTGTCAGGAGAAAGGAAAGCAGTTCACAAACCAGCTGGGAAAATCTGGGGGACGTGCTCTTTAGCAAGTCACTTAACCCCAGATTGCTCAAGGGAAGCTTCTTAATGTGCAGCTGTGGAAGACCGCGGTTCACTGGGAAGCTTCCGGCAGCAACTGTGCCGAACTTTGAACCGTGTTGTCGCTGGAAAAAAAAAAAAGAGGAAGACATCTCTGTTAACGTTGTTTATTAACGCTAAAATCAGAATGTTGCCCCTGCAGCTCGTGGATTTCACCCACATGGTCGGAGTAGAAGATTGAAGCTTTCAAATATTTAATGGCTGAAGCAACAGATGTCAGGGATAATGACGCAACATTTTCTAACTGTTCTTTTACGGACTAATCTTTGTCGCAGGCTCCGAGGCTATGACCTGATGTGGCCTCTCTAAAGCTTAGTGGACACATTAGTACAGTGACGCCGTTTAAACTTCTTCTCTGATGCACACGATCCCCTTTAAAATAATGTCTTTCGATAACAATATGTATTTTCCTTGTTTCGTCTAAAGACACCGGAGCCGGTCCAATTCTACAAAAAGGCTGAAATCTGTCTGGGAAATATATTTTTTCCTGGTGCATGAAAACATCTCGTATCAGAAGGCGAACAGACGCCGCAGATCTTTATCGACGTAGAGTTTATCCAAAGGGATGATTAATTTTTCATCAGATCTTGACAGCCGTAATATTCAAGCATCTGTGCTTAAAAAGTGTTCAGATATCGAGGCTGCAGCCGCTCTGCTTTTGATATTTCTGCAGTTTCCTCAAACGCTCGCAAATCCTTTATTTCCAATTTGTGCCTTTATGTCCATATTCTCTGTTGTAAAATGTGACAGAGGAGCTTGTCATTGGGTCCGTGTGAAATAGATGTTTTTAGGCGTTCCCCAGGGATCTAATCTAGGTCTGCTGCAGATACCTAATTATCAGCGTTTATCTTTTCATTGTCCAGAGCCTCTCTGTCACTCTTGCCTGCTCAGCGAGGCAGCAGACACACTCCAGGCCTCCGCTTCCCATGTGAGAGCAGAGATTCTGCCTGACATCAGACATGGGAAGCGAGCTCCGGCAGCATGAAGGGTAAAAGGTCGGGATTTGACCACCGCGGGCTGATAGAGCCGCCTTTTCATGTGTGATCAGCCCACAGCCTGAAGACAAATCCCTCAGCGCTCTGCTTTTGAACTTCGTCTCAACTGGAGCGAGTCCGCCGCTCGCTCCGTGGCTAATGGCTGCTGTGAGAGGTTATGAACACACACCTTGTTATTATTTAGTGGAAATACGTTACAGACACCTCTTTACTGAAAAAAGGATGAAAGCACAACATGCTGGGAACAGGGATTATTTTCTGGAGGTGCACTAATGAGGAAGAATTCACTTCCTTCACTGATTTCTCTGATTAAATCAGTGCCGGTTAAAGGGGAGGAGTTAAAGCTGGCTTTTATCTGAAAATAAAATAATAATGGTGGTGAAGGGGCTGGAACTGAATATTACACTGATGCTGCCAATAGTTTGGACATTTAGTTCCTGCAGCTCGCTGTAGAAACCAGGCTCCGGTTCTTCATCAAGCCTTTTACAAAACAATTATGACACTCATGACACCCTCTTTCTTCAGACCCCCTCCACTCTCCTCCATCAGTGCATAATTCATGAGCGACTCATCGCCAGAGCTAAGTCAATTGCATCCACTCTGAGCGAGTGTGCTGAGCAGCGCCCACAGCAGCACAAAAGGACTGTCAGTCCCATGACAGACTATTTTGCATTCTTTGTTCCATTAGAATGGATGTAAATGGAGGGCGTTCTTCTTCTGCCGCTCTCCCAGGTAGATGGAATGCAAACAATGCCAGAGAGCTGGTGTGGAGTCTCTGCTCACATGGGCTCAGAGAGGGGTTGATAAGATTTGGAAGTGACGTTCACAAATCAATATTTAAGTTGTGTTGTGTGGTGCAGACATACACGGTATTTTACATTTTTCATTTCAGCGTCGTCACTTCAGCGGACATGATAAAACCCTCTCGTGTCGGGGAATGACCGGCTCCGTCGTCCATCTTGTCCAATCAGATTGTGAAGACAACATCAAAATGATCTCTCGTAGTCAATGTGGACACTTTCTGTTTCATGTCTGAACACAGATTTTATCCACATGTTCTTTTCAACAAATACAAATCTTTTCTTCACATGCACAAACCTTAAGATTTATTTTTTAAGTTTCAACAACCACAAACAATCTCAACATGTCTATGACCGTGATTCTCATGACTTTGCAGATGCTGCAGGTCTTTAATGGCTCCCACTGCAGCGTGAGTGTGTGAGTGTGTGTGCACAGACTGTATGTATATATATAGAGTGCTATTTTTAAAGCTGAACCACAAATAGTAGCAACAGGGCCTAAAACAGTCCTCGCCTCTGTTTTCATTCCTGTGCTGCTGCCGCCTTCTCGTTCATTCATGAGTTTGCACAAACACTCTCTGCGTTTAACTCTTTTAGAAACAGAATTGTGACCCATCCTCAGTTTGTGTTCAGTCGTTGTGGAACACGGCAGACCACCTTCATTTCATGGTTAGTTAGACGCATGGCTGAAGCAGACACACACTTTACACCCTCTGTCGCGGGGAATTAGGCCAGTGTTCAGGTTAGTACTAATAATGTTATCACCACACAGGCCGGTCTGTCTTTAATGTAACATCAGTAGAAATCCGCCCGACATCTGTCCTGAGATTTTTAGAAAACCTGAATCTGAAAACTGCGGAAATTTGCTTTTTAATCCCACTGATGATGTGCTTGCTTGGATTACGTTGTGCAGTTGGTGGTGGAATCATTTCCGTCCATGGTCGTGTGTCGCTGTCCCCCGCGCGTCACGTTGAACCTGTTTCCTGTCAAGTAACGAGAACAGGGACGTGTTCGGAGAAGGAGAATCTGTGGAATCCACAGACTCCTGCTCTGCGTTAGATTGGAGATGGGGGGTGGGGGGGTTGGGGATTCACATTCGGCGTGTCAGGCGGCCCCGGCCGGGCAGCCTGTTGCCGTGGGCGACCAGCAGATCAGTGATGTGGCGGTGATGCCTCTAATGAAGCTGACACAGCACAGCCTCCCTCCTCGCGGGCCCCTGAGGGCCTCATGAAGCACCACACACACACACACACACACCCCTTCATGTTCCAGCCCAAAGTACTCCTGATTTGACGGCGGCTCCGATGCATCGCTGCTTCATTTATTCCCTCGTACATGMGGGTCAAGGCAGAGCCAGTGTTTGTGGTGGACAAAGTGGGTCACAGTACACAAACACACCTCTCACTTTGTTTTTCTCAGTCCGATGAACGTCTCTGTGTTGTTTTCCAGGAGCTGCCCAGCTGAGGTGAAGGGGAGGGCAGAGGATCCCAAGTTCAGCCTGCGTGTGGATGACCTGCTCTTGGAAACACGACCATGATCTGAAGAGGGCGCCGCACACCGAACCCCATTTCTCCTCTCCTCCTCCTTCTCCCTCTTTTTTTTTATTTTTTATTTTTGGTTTTGTTTTTAATTCTACGCGGTGACAGCCTCTCGGCCCGGCCGCTTCCAACAGAGTCAGCGTGCACGGAGAGAACGAACTGATCAGAGGCTTCAAGAGGAGGAAGAGATACAACAAAACACTCACCCGTGACCTCTGACCTCGCCGCTTCCCCTGCTCCTCCCACCGCAACACCGGAAACATGGGGAGGAAAAAGATTCAGATTCAGAGGATCACAGACGAGCGCAACAGACAGGTGAGTTCCAATTTTAAACAATGTCTGAATGTCTAACAACTTCCTGCTTCGTGTGTGTAGTCAACTCGTTTGTTCCAGTGTAGTCAACACAACAGCAACACAAACTACATCCTCCTGAACTGAACATTACAACCACAGACTGTAAATAAAGATGGACGACAAGACGGCTCCCAAAAGTGAAGCCCACCCCCTCCATGTTAGTGGATGGGACATAGTCCAATTAACTTTTCTGTCATTTTAGTCAGTTGTTATCACACTGATGTATTTTCAAGCTTCAGCATCAGAGCTGAAGTTCGACACAAGACAGTTTTGATGCCCCACTCAAGCATCAAACAGTTCGCCGGCACCTGAACCTCTTTGTAAAAGGGTTCGTCACCAAAGTGCAGTGACTCCTGGGATCGGCAGGACACATTCCAGTCTCACCGCTGTGACACGTGATCTTCAGATGCAGCCTCCGAAGGATGCGACCCCTGATCTGAGACACAGCCGTCGTCTCAACGTGCATTGACCTCCTGACAATTCACTCATTACGCAAACAAAAAACTTTTAGCTTCCATATAAACATTTATTTACTAAATAATCAGTGACGTTGCAGACGTCCCATGTAGCACAACTCAGAAGCTGTTCTCTGAGAACGGTAGCATCGTGTCTTATGAGGCTCGTATGACTCTGTGGAGCCACCATGGGGTTTCTCAGACCCTCACACTGCCTTCAGTAAAAAAGAGCAAGTTAGTGTAATAGTCCCCCTCCAAAAAAAACAGCCCCAGTCCCTATGGTTACATCAGTGGCATTGTCAGAGCGGATGAAAGGGTAAATGATCCATCTAAAATGAGTCAACTGGTAAATGGGCTTTGCTCCATTGAGCCGACTGAGTAATGGATTTGACGTGCCCACCTTCAAAAGCGGAGGAAGAAGAAAAACAAGACGGAGGGAGGAAAACAAGGTGCCTGTCTGAATAAGACCTGAGCGTTGTGAGAGCGAGGTGCAGCCGCAGGGTTTTGGAAAAATCATCCGCACTTTTCTCCTCATCAATCTTTGCAGGTCGCGTCTCCACAAAGAGGAGGAAGCAGCGCCTGCAGGGGGTCAGCCCGGTGCGATGGGTTGTTATTCGTCAGTACACAATCGGACATAAGGGAGAAGGGGTGGGGGTGCAGATACTTCTGGTGGGGCAGGCTCCGGGGTTCGGATCAGGTGTCAAACAGTTTGTCAATAAGGCGACGCACTCCGCGGTAAAACATGGTCCTGGTGTCAGGATCAAGGACTCTTCATTGACCACGATCAGGTGATTGACAAGCAGCGAACGGTTTGTTATCGGGGTGAAGACATGGTGACTCTCGTGTTGACCCAAACCTGCGCTCAGCGTTTACACGTTATCTGTTAAAACGCAGAGAAACAGGATCCAGTTCTTGTATCAGCGACGAGGCGGCTGCGTTTGAAGTGGAGCAGAGAACCGAGCCACTCAAGAAACAAGTGTTTTTTTGTTTTTTTTACACGCTCGCTCTGTTACTGCAGCTAATGAACAGTGCAGCTCCTGAAAGGAAATCAAATGAAATATTTTTTGGGAGTACACGCCGCCCGTCACCCTCCTACGTGTCGATTCAGAGATGCTGCCATAAGCTCCAAAAAGCAAACAGCGTGTGGAGTGTGGGCCTCGGCTGGAAACACGACAGCGTCGCAAACAAAGACACGAGAGGCAGAACTGGAGATGTTGGACTGATCGGTGCTTTTTTACTTTTTTATTTGAAGATGGTGTTAGAGTGTCGACCTGTCATTGGCCGCGTTCAGCAGGAAGAGTTCAGAGATTTTATTGTTTTCATACAACTGTACAAACGAGTCCTGAGGAAACATGGAGACAGGAAAACTCATCAGTACTGAAGGTTCACAGCTGTGGTGGAAAATCCAGGTACAACTGTGCTCTGGTAATATTACGTAATATTAGGAGAATATTCATCCAATGAAGTTGTAGTTTTACAAGAATATAGAAAGGAGAACATTTTTAGGAAATAGGAAGAACCCGTGCTCGCCAGAGTTCCTCTCTTGAACCAGGAGACAGACTGATCTTCTAATCTTCTTTAAAATTAAACAAATTAAACAAATACTCAAATTAGGATTTTTTTTCTTTTCAAATTTCAACTTTTTTGTGCAGAATCGTGACTTTTTTCTTATAAAATTATAAATTTTGTCTCATAATATTATGACTTAATGCTCCTTTGTAGATGAATCATTCAGTTGTCGATGTCAAGGATCTACTCAGGAAATAATCACTCACTGAAAAACATGAGAGAAACTTTTGAAATGAAAACGCTTTCTTCCTTCTCTCTTTCTTTCTTCCTTCCTTCTCTCTTTCTTTCTTCCTTCCTTCTCTCTTTCTTTCCTCTCCTCATCGACGGTGTCTTATTCTCCAGTTGCCATTGGTTACCTGGCAATTCTCCTACAGCTTGTTTATCCTTTGTGACAAACACGGGGATCGAAGTGGAGCCCAAACTCGCACAGAAGCCACGCTGGCTGCTTCCTGTCGGAGAAGAGGAAGAAGACGGAGTTTATAGTTTGGACTCGTTCTGGTTGTTTTCAGCGTAAATCGTGATTTTATAATTTGTTAGCGGTCGTTGTTTTCGGTGGCTTGTCTCTCCATCACCGGCGTCTCTTGTCATCAAGCACAGCCGTAATTTCCTCCCTTTCCAGCGTTGCCACAAAATGTGTCTGCTCATTCTGTGTGTGTGTGTGTGAGAGACGGAGAGAGGGAGAGGGGGATATGTAGATGAGCAGAGAGATAAAGATAGGGGGAGAGAGAGAGAGAGAGAGATAAAGGGAGGTAGGATGATGGTTTCAGTGTGTGATGAGGTGGGAAATGGGGGGGCGGAGGGGAGGCAGGAGGGGAGGGGAGTCGGTTGCCCATGGATACGACCCCGATATAATTTGATTTGTGGCAGCAGGAAGCAATGAGTGAGCGAGCGAGAGAGGAGGGGAGGGAGGATGTGGAAAAAAAAAAAAGAGGAAGAGAAAACGAGGGCGAGAAAACAAGAAGACGGAGGAGGACGAGAGAGAAGGAGGGATGAGAAACATGTCGGGCGCCAAAGCAAAAAATAAAGGATCAAGAGATATGAAAGATGGAGAGACTGTCAGATCTTCACCTTCTCACTTTTATCCCCTGTCTCTTTCCTTTCTCTACCTCTCCTTCGCTCCCTCGCTTTCTTTACGTTTTAAATTCAATGCAGTTTCAACAAATCATTTTTTTCATGACTAATCCATCTCTATGACAACACGTCACTCTCAGTAACTTCACATTTACAACCCAAAAATACAGAAAGTAGCCAGAGCAAAGAAAAAGAGACAAACCTGCCGAGGGAAGTCCGAAAACAAAGAGGAAGTAAACTTTGGGAAATGCATTCTTTTCAAAATAAAACGCCTGCTACACTTCCCGGGAATACTCCTTAATATTTTACCCCTTAAAAAGACACAAACCATTAATTTAAAACTACTGAAGTGATGTCACAGGAGGAGTTTTGGCGTTTCCGTCAGATGGAAAATGTGTTGACGTCACTCGCGGAGTGCGCCTGAGGAGCAGCGGGCTTCAAAGCTTCCTGCCCTTTTCTAACACCCTCAGTTCAGGCCTGCATCCCATCTGTGCACGTTTACCTCCCCCTCATCCGACGAGAGATATCGTATCAGCACCTGAAGGTTTTCCCTCTTTTCTCTTCACCTAATGTTTCTATCCCCGGTGAGTGTTTGTGTGTTTGTGTGTGTGTGTGTGCAATGTGTGTTTAATCCAAATCTCTCTGGATTGTAAATACCAGTTGGTTGTAGCTGGGAAGCTTCTGAAGCCAACAGACAGCGAGGGCCGCTGTGCTTCGGCTACACTCCCAACTCTGTTCTGTGTGTGTGTGTGTTTAGAGCATGTTCAGACACACTACATCGAGCACACACACTTCTATGTGAGAACACAAACGTCTGCGCCAGTTGCTCGACCGTTTCTGGAACTTTTCCTGCAGCCTTCTCGTAAAATGTCTGGAAAAGAGCCGACGATGAGCTGTAAACAAAAACACATGATTTCCGTAGTGGAATTTATAGATAATGTCTCTCCTCCGCTCTTACTCTGAAAAACACGTCGGCACCAGGAGAAATCCCACCTGTGTCCATGACCCTTTTAAAACATTCATCAAGTTTTTACCGTTCTCAGAAATATATTTTGATTTATTTCCTCCCATGAAGTTGCTGCACGTGGATTAACACAGTGACCTTTGCACTTCTGTTCAATGTGGACGTGACCAGTTTAAAAGAAGGATATCAGGAAGCTAACTGATGTTGATCGACCAGAGAGCATTTTATGACCCTTAATCAAATTGTGGTTGTAATTTATTTAGTATCTTTTTATGATGGTGAGCAGAGAAACACGTCAACATGACAACACATGTGTATTATTATAATAATAACTATAATTCTAAACCGACGTTACAAACAACAAGCAGATAATGAAAACTGCTGTGTGAGATCAGCTCTGCTCAAACAGACATTTGGCTTCTTTGCTGACATGATGTGAAAAGTCTTAATGTCCACTTTAAGTGTCTGTTTATTTTAAACTGAGCAGTTTAGTTAGGAGGGAAGTTTCAGGGGAAATGAAGACACTTAACAACTTGGTAATTTCTAAACGTCTGCCACTTTTGTGATTCTCCACACTCTGCAGCGTTTGGCCACCTGAAAAAAAAACTGCTCTCACAATCATAAATGTGTGAAGTCCTGGGGCCCAGGTTCACTTCAGGGCCCTTATCACCAACATTCAAGGCACAGGGGCCCAAGATACACATGCTGTCTCTAGAACAATAAAAACTGTTAAAACAAGAGATTGTTCCACTTGTCACCTTCATGTCTATAATAAGTAGTTCAGTGCCTCCGGTGCTGCTGGTTACAGATTCCGCCCTGAAACTTTCAAACAGTCTCTGGTGCAGATTGAAATTAGAAAACTTTGTGTTCATCCTACCTGGTTTATCTGCACTGAAGCTGTGTAGTCAGTCAAGTTTGAATGATTTACTTAACTGCTATATTTCACTTTAACCTTTCAAAATAAAAGCTCTGTAGCTCAATGTGAAGCAACAAAAAAACGACTGTGCTCTTACTTTGTAGACAAGTTGCTAAAGAGGAAGTGATTCTATGAATGTTGAAATCGCACTTCTCTTAACGACACACATGCCGAGTGTGAAGCTGAGAAGATGAACGGTTCTTCAGATATGACGGACAGAGTTTTTTGGAATTAGATTTTCCAGAACATAGTATCTACAGGATGGGACAGATAGAGACGGACTAGAAAACAACTCGTATCTTCTTCTGTGTATAATTTATTACGTCCCTCTCTCTGCTCCACCAGGTGACGTTCACCAAGAGGAAGTTCGGTCTGATGAAGAAGGCGTACGAGCTGAGCGTCCTGTGCGACTGCGAGATCGCCCTCATCATCTTCAACCACTCCAACAAGCTGTTCCAGTACGCCAGCACCGACATGGACAAGGTCCTGCTCAAGTACACCGAGTACAACGAGCCGCACGAGAGCCGGACCAACGCCGACATCATCGAGGTAAAGGGCGGGAGGGGGAAGTCGCAGCTGAAACAAAGGGAAACCACTGAGTCTGGTGGAAACACACTGTGACAGTGACCTGATTGTTGAAAACTCTTCAATCTCACATCTTCGTCATTCGCTCTGAAAGATTATTCGTTCTGTTCATCCTGCTCTGTGTTGGTGCATCGTCCCGATACTTAGAACTAAACAACAGTTTATTTCCCCCAGCGGGATCGTTAAGTTTTAATCCGAGCTAATCTAATCTGGTTCTCTCCAGACTCATTCAGACATAATTGTCCACTTTATAAAAGCCAGTCCAGTTCATTGCGGTCCGGTGTGTAAGCGACTGCTCGTCAGGGTCTTTGGATGAAGCGAGGAGCTGCGGAGCCTTGAACTCGGTCTGGTCCGGTCGACTTTAGCCTCATCTTTGGTTTATCATTGAATTTAACATCTCTACTTGATGTTCGCTGCTTCAGATCAGACGACTGATGTGACTCACGTCTGGAACTGTTAGTGATGGAGGTGGAGCCAGAAGTTAATTAACTTAGATTAACGACTAACCCTAACCCTTTTCTGGAAACAGAAAAAACATCAGGTCACAGATGAACACGTTAAACCTTGTTTGTGGTTGTTGCCTTTGGACGGAGCTGTGCTAGCTGTTTCCCTCTGTTTCTAGTCTCTGTGCTAAGCTAAGATGACTGTAGCTGAGACCATGAAGGTGTTGCACTGATTAGTTTAGGTGATTCGAAGTCGGTATTTGGAAAAAACACGGAGGATGTAAGTCAAATATAATAATATAATATGTTGTATTTATGACGATACTAACGCTGATTGAAAAATAAGTGGGTGTTCGCCTTATACCTGCGTTTACCCTCCACTACACCACCGTGTATAAATATTCACACCAGCGTCCCTGAAGTTAACTGACATAGAAACAGAACTGCAGATTGTTCACACGGTCATTACCCAGAAACCTCTACAACAGCAACCAGCCAAAGTACAACACCTCAAACCGATTCCACTTCTGCACAAAATGGCCACCAGAGAGAGGAAGAGCCTGCCAAGGAAGAAAATAATGTTTGTCTGTTTGCATATTGACTGGAAGAGGGGTCAGCGGTGGGGTTACGAGAGAAGCTGTGAGGGCAAACGTGTAGTTCTGTTTTTATGTTGTAGTAATAGGAAGAATTATTTTTTCTCCTCATGTCTTTGCTCCCTGTGGGAAAAAGCTTCTCTGGAGCTCGTCAGGCAAACGCGGAGCACATTCACACGCCTTGCTGACCCTTTTATACATAATGGCCCTCTCATGAATTGAACACGAGATGGTTGGGTATGATTCAGCGAGCCGTGCGCGCTGCAGCACGGCACTTAGGCTTCATATGAAGCGTCGACCTAAAGCTGCTTCTACACGTACAGCTGCAGGAGCTCATCATCACTCACAAACTCATGTGTGTTACAGGACCCACCGTCATTTTACATGTTGGCAATAATGTCAAACGAGAACAGGTCCCCAGCTTTTATCTGCTGCTTTCAGCTAAAACAGAATCAAACGCTAAATCAACCTTTTACTCTTTTATATACACCTTCTAAGATCAAGGCAATAACAACGACCTGCGTCCCCGGAGACGTGAACTTTGACCCTGAACGATGAGCTTTGTTTCCCACTCTCAGGCTTCTGTTTTTGAATTAAAGCCCAGAGGCTTCAGAGAGTGTTTGATTCATCCTGAGAGCTTCCTCTGACCTCTGCTGCTGCAAGGTTTCATTCTCTGTTCCAAGTTGTCTGAAGCTACACACACACACACACACACACACACACACACACACACACACACACACCCCTCCTGTAAATCGGTTGCTAGCTGGTGTGATGATTGTTTCTGACACAGCTGAGAGCAGGGACGCTGTATAACGACGTCATATCCTGTCACTAGGTTGTCGTCCTTCGTCTTTCACTTTTATTAGAGAAGCTGCTTCAAGGACGAGGAGTAGACTTCCCGACACAAAGTGTTCTGAAAATGTCCCAGAACAGTTCAGTTGTTGGATCCATCCAATCAGGACTCGAGTGAGCTGAAGGCACGACGGAGGCAGCCGTATTTTTCACCTCCACCTCGCTCGGTCTGTCACTTCCCATCCTTGGACTCTTCTCACGCTCTCTCCTTCCTCC